AGCATTTGCATTCAGATAACTGTGAATACAGTAGTACGGCTTCAGAGTAACAATAGCACAGTTAGGAAAGGTAAGCAAGGGTCATGTTTTAGAGCCTTGTAGGCCTTCCTAAAAAAGTTTAAATTTTATCTCGAGAGGCCACTGGAAAAAAAAATTAAGAGCCAGAATTGTGTAGGAAAAATATTGCTCTGGGTTTACTGTGCATTGCAAGAGGGCAAGACAGTGGGACCAATTAAGAGGCTGTTGGAGCAATCAAGGAAATAGATGATGACGGCCTAGACTAGATTTGCAGAAAGGGGAACGGAGACAAGTAGGTGAATTTGAGATTAAGAAAGGAGAAGCAACAGGACTTCGTGGTTGAGTGAGTGTGAGGCTCAAAGCAGGGACCTTTCAGGATAACTCCTACGTTACAGATTGAAGCACATTCTGGAGACACACACTAGGACAGGAAAATGAGGTGGGGCTTTGCTTGTTCTCAAAGTTGATAAGTAACCCTCAAAATGTGACTTATAAACACCAATATTCATTCAGAAGAGTTTAAAGTTCTCTTAAATAATACATTATCCTTTATAGCAATTAAAACAATAAACATCAAAGTAAATGAACTCAGACCTTCTGCTCAATAGTAACAATTTTCATCACAGCAGAGTGTATTGCTAGTCCACATTTATGATATAATACTATATACTATATGAGATCCAAAGTTTTATTTACCTGCCAACAAATAATTAGTTTGTTCCTACCTATATTCAAAATTCCAGGTATACAAATATGATTTATACCCCCAAGCTGCTAGGTAAAATATAATAATAGATGGGACAATTAGAAACAATACTAACATAGAAATAGTACACTGATGCTCAGTAGTGGATGGGCCGCAGAAAGAAGACTTCACTGAAAGAGTTCCAAGTTTAGGAAATAAAATAGTATAAGGAAGTGAAGTGACCCTGTAGTTTTGAAGAGCAAGAAGACACAATAGCTTTTACATTCTAGCAGAGTAGGAACCAGAAAAGAGCCCCATTTTAGAGATGGGGAAATAGCTGGACAAAGTAAGATTTTTTCTAAATTGCCAATTGTACGATCCAGGTCTTCTGGAGTTTGAATCACGTCATCGGTTTTTGGGATTGATCTGCCAACATTTCATAATACCCTAAATGTCCTTAAAATATGACTGCTTTCTCCTTTAATTTTGATGTAAAGATAGCGTAATCACTGAGCATAGCAAAATATCCCCACTTAAACATGTAAAGACAAACCAAAGCATTTTATTTTTTTCAGGTTCCTACCTTATTTCAATGTACTTTCACTGGCATTAGTTTTCAAGTCAAAGGAAAACCTAGAAAAGAACAGAGTTTAGGGAATCACTCAAAAAAAAAGTCAACTATAAAGAAATGATACATGGGACAAAAAGCACTAACTAAAATGCCATGCTTAGGGCTTCCCTGGTGGTGCAGTGGTTGAGAGTCCGCCTGCCGATGCAGGGGACACGGGTTCGTGCCCCGGTCCGGGAAGATTCCCACATGCCGTGGAGCGGCTGGGCCCGTGAGCCATGGCTGCTGAGCCTGCGCGTCCGGAGCCTGTGCTCCGCAACGGGAGAGGCCCCAACAGTGAGAGGCCCGCGTACCGCAACAACAAAAAAACCCCCAAAAAAACACATCCATGCTTAGCAGATTCTATAGAAGCAAAAGAGAGGATCAGGGTCTTTGATCTTTTTTTTTAAATTTTATTTATTTTTGGCTGCATCGGGTCTTCGTTGCTGCATGCAGGCTTTCTCTAGCTGCAGCAAGTGGGAGCTACTCTTCGTTGCAGTGCGTGTGCTTCTTACTGTGGTGGCTTCTCTTGTTGTGGAGCACGGGCCCTAGGTGCGCGGGCCCAGTAGCTGTGGCTTGCGGGCTCAGTAGTTGTGGCACACGGGCTTAGCTGCTCCGCGGCATGCAGGATCTTCCTAGACCAGGGATCGAACCCATGTCCTTAACCACTGCGCCACCAGGGAAGTCCAGGGTCTTTGATCTTAAATGAAATCCTTTCAAGGTTAACTAGGTTATATTATCAAATCTAGAAGAATAAGGATCTAATGACATTACTTTTGGTAGTTACCACAGAAAAACTCAGAACAATCATCATAGATGAAGCAAATCAGAAGTCCCAAAATGTAACTTTGAAGAATGACTTCATTTATCTGTATTGTATAATACGTTGTATAAATTCCAGAGTCAGACCGATGGTAGGGACTAAATGAATATGAGGAGTAAAGTAGGGCTTAGCTTTTTCTTTCTTCACTGGAAAAATGGAAGGAATTATTTCAACAGGTTGTGAAGTTTAAATGAGATTTTATATATATATGTTTTTATATATATTATATATGTAATATATAAGTATATATATTATATATATAAATTAAATGGTGCTTTGTGAGAAGTATTACACCATTCATTTCAATGTTCATGCAATACAAAACTACCTATTAAAAAGATAAATACAGAACAGAGGAAAGTAGGGACAGAAATGTAACAGGACTCTGGGCTGGAATGGGCTGGAAGAATTCCAATACTAAGGCCCAAAGAGATTTTTTTTTTTATGGCATGTGTAGTATACTATACTATGATTAACATGTTTTCTTTGCAGTTAAATTATTGCACACTTTTTCTTTCTCGAATGTATGAAGAAGATAGGTGCTTGCAAATAATAAAATATAAAATTTAATAAGGTCCACAAGTAGCTGTCAGTTTTTTCTCTTTTTAATATAAAGACCTGATAATCCTTTCTCCTTACTTAGGGGGAAACTTTCACATAGAAGCTAGCACAGCTTGTATTTTGTAGATAAATACAGATGATATTGACCAAAATACCCAACAGTACCTTCTGGTCAAAATCTTAAGCAATTCAGTGTCCCATGTTTACCTAGTTGCAAGTGAAAGGATCTTGAGGGTGGAGGGGAAGGATTTTAAATTGGAATAGCAGGGCTGGATCACTAGTCAGATTCTAAACTTTCCTGGGAGGCTATTGCAGATTTAGAACAAATTTCTCTACCTCTCGGAAGGAAAGCATGCAGCTTCAAGAACAAAAGTATTAGAACAAAAGAAAACAAAACACCCTAAAAAAGACAACCATAATCCAAAGAGACAGCAAACTAGTGGAAATACTGTAACAGGTTCAAAATCACTAATTCAAATTCCTATTAGAAAGCTATTAAAAGGTACAAACACCAGCAGAATAGGAAAAAGACAGGTGATTTACTGAAGAAATAATGACTAATAAACATAGAAAAAGATGTTTCACCTCATTAATAATGCAAATAAAAACATTAAGCTATGCTTCTAGATTGGTAAGACTTTTCAGTACCCAGTGCTGGCTGGAGTGTGGAGAAATAAGTACTCTTACACTGTGTTCTATGTGTTGGAGGAGGGTGTGGAGGGGAGATGACAGTTTTTCTAGAGGGCACTTTGGCATTATGAATCAGAATTTAAAATGTACCGTAATTTCTAAGCCACAAAACGTTTCCAAGAAATTATTCTAAGGAGATAAACTGGACAAGAACGCAAACATGTACATGTACAAGTAACCACTACCATGCTATTTTCTGTTGATGAAGAAATTGGAAAAACAAATGTCCATCATTAGGGGATAGGTTAAATAATACGTGGTATAGTAGAGCCACAGCAAGAAATACCATGCACCCATTAAAAATGATAATGCAGGGACTTCCCTAGTGGTTCAGTGGCTAAGACTCCGCGCACCCAATGCAGGGGGCCTGGGTTCCAGCCCTGATCGGGTAACTAGATCCCAGAGGACGCTACTAAGAGTTCGCATGCCACAATGAAGATCCCGCGTGCCACAACTAAGACCAGGTGCAGCCAAATAAAGATTTTTTTTTAAATGATAATGCATATCTACATTTGGCATGGATAAAATCACTTATTCCTAAACTATTAGGGACTAAATAAGGCATAATCTGCTTTTTAAATGAATATACTTTGTTATATTCAAAATACACAATTATATAAAACAAATACATTTACCAATCATGTAAATATATACTCATAATGAATACATCTTAAGTAAACCCAAATATCAACACTGATTTTTTTTTTTTTGATCTGTGGCTGATGGAATCTCGAGTATTTTCTTCCTTTTTAAATATGTACTTAACAGTGCTTGGATTTATTTCTACAAATACTGAGATTGTATACTTTTTATAACCAGAAAAAAAAAAGTTGTTTTTCTTTCTTCATTCTGGGGCAGGACTATAGGATTCTTCAATTTTACACGCTATCCTAACTCATTAGGGAAAGCGCTTCTCGCACTGTGACATCCGGAAGTTCACAAAAGGTGAAACTAGAGGGGGAGAAGACTTTTCTCCCTTCACGACGACAACAAAGACCAGAGACTGCACCAGCTGGCCCGGGGCGTGGTTGTCGTCTCAGACGCTCACGGCCTCCGGGGAAGCCGGCTGCCCGCGGGCACCGGTCCCGCCGCCCACAGGCCCCTCGGCCCCGTCCACCTCGCAGAGCGGCGACCACGAGGGTGCTCGCCGCTGCGGGCGCCGGGCTGGCAGTGGACCGGCAGCTGGTGCACATCATGACCTTGAGAGGTCGAACGCGCTGGGGGCACGCACGGCGCCGCTCACACGTGCCTCCGCAGGCCGCACACCTGGGCTCGGCGGGAGCGTCAAGGCTCCGTACGGCGCCCTGGGGAAACCGGCACCCAGGGGAGGGAAACTCCAATGCCGCGCTACTCAGAACCTGACCTCTCCACAGCTGTGGGCGGGCGGGCGGCCCTAGGGAGCCAGTGCACCATCTCTTTCAGCTTTTACCCGCTTACCGGTCCAGCGGACGTCCATCGGCCGCACCGAGTCCCGCCGCCCCGCTAGCTTAGTACCGCAGGTTTCGGTTAGCGTCCCACAGCTCGCGCAGGCGCACGACCCGCAAACGCACCCAGGCTGGCGTTAACCGCCCGGCCGCCCAGATTTAAACCCGAAGAGCGTACGGCCCCCTCGGCCCCGCCCTCCTCCTTACTATTGGCCCAGAGGATAAACGTCTTCCAAGTGTACATCCCGATTGGTGCCTATTTTCTTTTGGCCCTCCCCCATGGGCGGGAGGAGGCTTGGGACTCCGGGCTTGGATTCGCCAGGGCCGCCACCCGCCGAGCTCCAGCGCGTAACCCGGAACCGCGGCGGCGTCGCTTTTAGGTGTCCCCGAAGGGGAGGCGAGGACTCTCAAGCCTCGGTTAACAGCGAGGTAGCTGGATTTGGGGAGAGGTGTTCTAAACGTTCCGTTCACCTCAGGGGAATCGTCCCTTCCCTGCTCCGGCGGATGTGGGGCTGGGAGATATCGGGGAGGGCGGCTCTCAGAGCCGGGTTGGAGCCACTTCCCCCGGTCCCGCCTCTTGCCTCCTGACGGTTGCCCTGGAGTCTGATACGCGCAGGTTCTGTATAAAGACCGGACGCGCGTCCGCAGAGTCCTTCCCGTGGTTTCCGAGGCTCTCTGATTTGACCCATTGCTGTGTCTCCAACCCTTGCCAAAGTGACTGTCAAACTGCTCCCACCACTCCAACTTCCTTGGGTGAACGAGGCCTCGCTTGTGGTTTTCCTCTGGAATGCTCCCGTCTGCTCCCTTCGCATAATCTTACCCTTAAATTTGTTTTGTTTTGTTTTGTTTACGTACCTGGGGGAAAAGTCTAGTGCTTTGGGAGTTGCTGGCGGTGAGACCTAGAAAAGAAAAAGGGTGGAGGTCTTAACAGCGCAGTGTCCTCATCACTGCCCTGCAACCTAACTAAAGCAACTTGTCCCCCTCGTCCTGAGCGTTCTGTACCCCACCTCACAACAAATAGGAAGGTGACAAATTTAATTTACACTATTAAATTCAGGATTCAGTGAGAGGGAGAAAATAATCTGTAATCTTTTCCTCCAAACTTCATATTACCTCTTACTCTTACCCCTTTGTCCTAGGGCCTTTGCACTACCTCTAAGGCACTTTGGATTTGTTGGGGGAAAGAAGAAGGAATAAACAAAGGAGAAGAAGACAGAAGTAGTTTGTGAAGGTTTGAATGACCCGACCCCTAGATCTCCAGTGTCTTAACACGACTTTAGTGCACACATTCTTTTCTCATGAACAAATATCCCACGTTTAGGTTTTGTCATCTCGTAGCTGCATGTCTTTTTCAGTGGCATTGAATTTGTCTTAGAAACAAGAGCGGACAGAGTCATTTTTCTTACCTACTGCTTTGCTCATTCAGCAAACTCCTTACACACACACCCCCATTAGTTTCTTGTTCTCCTTTATGTTAAAATTTTATCTTTGAAACCCTTTAATCAATAACTTGAAGGATCTATCTTCCGTCATCTTTCAAGTGGTATCTTGTGTTCAACTCAATCCCTGTTTTTTGGTGGACCACTTCATCCTCCAGCTTTGTCTAGATCTGATTTGATAATCCTCGTGGTTCCTTGAAATCCACTGAACTCAGGTCAAGAAAACTTAACCAGGGCCATTTAAACTACAGTATATGGAAGGAAATCCTATTCCTGCAAACCAAACTGCATCTTTTAAAAAAAATATTAAGGAAAATTTCAAACATATGGAAAAAATGAAGCTCCGTGAACTCAATGCCAGCCCCAACAATTATTAACTCCTGGCCAATCTTGCTGCTCCCATATCACTATCTACATAACTCCTCTTGTGTTTCTTTGAAGCAAATAGCAGGCATCTGAAAGCTATAAATATATCAGTATGATTTCTAAAAACATAAAGGACTTTTAAAAAGCATAACCACAATATTATTATTACAGCTAAAATATTTAATGTATTTCCTTAATATCATCAAATATCCAGTTTAATTTTCTGCTTGCCTCGTAATTTTTTTTTTTTTTCCTCTACTGTGCTTGTTTAACCCAGGACCCAGTCCACTTCACATGTTGTGATTGGTTGACGTGTCTTTCAAGCTTCTCTTATTCTACAAGTTCCACCTCCATATTTTTCCCTTGCAATTTGCTTGTTGAAGGAACCAGTTGTTCAACAACCTGTTGAAGGAACCAGGTTGTTCTGTGAAGTTTCCCATAATCTGAATTTTGCTGATTGTGTCTAAGTGACGTAGTTTAACATGGTTTCCTTACCTTTCGGTAGTAATGCATCCTTTTCCAGATGCTTTCCCTGATCCGGCCTAGCTAGTTTAATTAACGCATCAGCATCTTTATGCATTCGAACATTGCTTTCAACTGGTTATATCCTCATGTTTAAGTTAATCACTCCTTTATGATATCTTTGCTTACCTCACCCCTTTGTTGACATTTTCAAACTCCTTCAAGTGTAGACCTGTCATCTTTTATTTGCATGTGTGTGGATGGTAGTTTAAGGAATAGGTGAGAATGAGATCTTCCAGGAGAGTACAGAGTGAAAAGAGAAGGCAGCCTGCTCTCTTCTGGAAACTCTCATTTGTTGAACTCTGGGAGACTACCCTGTCCTGCTTCTGCTCCTGCCTCTCTCCTCTGCCTTTCAATTGTTGCTGGTCCCCAAGGATTGGTCCTTTTTTTTTTCCCCTCCCTTGGAGAGCTTAATAGTTTTTTTGTTTCCACTATTCATTTTATGTGAGATAGTTTCAAAATCTGTAATTTCAATCCTTACTCTCTCCTGAGTTTCTGAGATCTATCTTATCTGCATATTAGAATTTCTACGTGAATTTCTTTTCATCTTTGCAAATATTACTCATCTTTCCCCTCTGGTTTCACCCTTGTGATTTCCAAGGGTGAATGGTATTATCATTTCCCCGTGCTCTCACCCCTTAAGAGATGATTTTTTTTTTTTTTTTTTTTGCGGTACACGGGCCTCTCACTGCCGTGGCCTCTCACATTGCAGAGCACAGCCTCCGGATGCGCAGGCTCAGCAGCCATGGCTCACTGGCCCAGCCGCTCTGCGGCATGTGGGATCTTCCCTAATCGGAGCACGAACCCGTGTCCCCTGCATCGGCAGGCGGACTCTCAACCACTGCGCCACCAGGGAAGCCCAAGAGATGATCATTTTTTACTCTTTCTCATCTCCATATATCTCATTAAGTTCTGTCATTTGTTCCCTTGTAAAGTCTCATCTCTCTTCCTTCCAGTTCCTTTTTTACCACTAATCATTAGTTCAGCCCTATTATTTTGTTCTTGGATTCTTTCAGACACATTTACTAATATTGAAGGATATGGCATAGTAGCTAAGACTGTAGGCTCTGGGTCATATTATCTGGGCTCAAATTCTGACTCCTCCAATGCCTAGATATGTGACCTGGGCAAGTTATGTAGCCTCTCTTTGATTCTATTTTCTCATTTTAAAAATGGAGATGATAATTCGACTTCCTTTGTATGTTTTCTGTGAGAATTAAATGAGAAAAAGTACGTTAGCATAGTGTCTATGAAATAATAACTCACTGCATTATAAATATTGTATAGTATTCTTTAGTCTTTATAATATTCTTTATTCTGTTCTTATGAGAAGAATAGCGCTCTGCCTTCCCTTTTATCTCTCTTGGCTCTGTCCATCCTATACGTCATTGCCAGAGGAGTTGTCCTAAAATATTAATCAAGTTATTATGCTAAAGCACCTGCAGTGGTCTCTCTTTGCCAGAGTAAATTCACTCTTCTTGGGGCCCTGCATGATCTGGACCCATCCTGCCTTTTCAGCCTCATTTCCCAGGTCCCCTCTACTCAAGCTTCCCATTGTAGTCAGTCTTGTTTCTTCACTGTCCTCAAAGCCACTTGGTTTATTTAACTTTGGGTCCCTTCCTTATCTAGGTTCCCCTCTTATCTCCTTTCAAATCCTGTGCCTCTTGAAAGCTCATCTCCGGTTTACCCCTCCCACCAAGCCATGCCTGATTACCCTCAGCCATTGGAATTTGACCCTTTTTGAAATTCCTATAGCCCTTACCTTTATTTCTCATTTAACTTCTAAAATACCTAGACTGAGACTGTTAATATTCTGTTTAGTTTAATCTTATCTCTTCATCCCAAGCTGCTCATTTCCTTTCCAGTCTTACTTTCTGATACTTCATAATGTGAGCCCTTCACCAGTCTACTTACTAAGCATTCATATATCAGCAGTGATTATTATTATAACTATGATGATGATGTACACTTCTGCCATTGTTCATACAGGGCCTTCTCTGCTCATCTCTCTCTCTTCTTTTTTAGCAGTCACAAAGGCAACGGTTGTAAACGAAACAGCGAGGGTCAGGAATCAGGAGACCAGAGTTCTCTTCCCAGTAATTTGCCAGCATAATTTGGACAGGTTAGTTTCTCTGTGTTTTTCTTCTCACCTGTTAAATGGAGTTACATTAGATATTATGTTAATTGCTTTCATTTCTAAAACACTTTCATTTTAAATCTATTTAAGGGCCAACTCAAGTATGTTACTCCCAATCATTCTTATTTATGTCTTAAGCACTGATACTCATATCTTGCTTTTTATTCTTATTACTTCTCCAAGTGTGTATTTCTTTTCCTCCCAAGAAGATCAAGCTCTTTGAGGGCAGGTATATGTCTCATATTTGCTGTTACTTGCCACCACTATCAAAACTCTGTGTGTAATGGGATTCAGTGTGGTTGGATTAAATTTTAAATTAAATGTCCTGCCATTAAGTCAGAACATTTAATTACTTCCTTTCACTCAGGAGCAAAACTCCTGTCCTGAAATTCCTAATAATCAGTGAGATGCCCCAGCTGGGAGGGGCAGATGCTATATGAGTTGAGGTGGAATGAAATATGGTGATGTTGTAAATCAGAGTTTCTCAACTTCAGCACTGTTGATATTCTGGGCTAGATAATTTTTTGTTTGGGAGGACTGTTCTGCACATTGTAGGATGTGGAGCAGTATCCCTGGCCTCTACACTTCAGATGCAGTAGCATCCCAATAATGACAATCACAAATGTGTCCAGATATCACCAAATGCCAACCGTGGGGGCAAGACCATCCCCAACTGAGAACCACCTCTTACAAATGAAAGTCTTAGACAGGACATGCCAGATGGTGAACGAGGTTTTCTTTACACCATGTTTCTTTGTACCTGCTGTACTTCTTACAGATGTTTACATTTTTAGAAATAAAAGAATTAAGAACCGAGTAGAGATTTTTGTGTGCAGAAGGGAAGACATTGGAAAATTTCTGTGCCCACAGTCCAAGGAGAAGTAGCAGAGTTAAGCCAGCATTTAGGTGGCTTCATAGAAAGTAGTTTCAACCTGAGGCTCAGAGAGAAAAGGACCCTGAATTCTCAGAGTCTTAGGAGGTGGTGAGAAGGAATTTTAATTTTGGAATGAAAAAAGAAAGTAAGATACCTAGGAGAATAATTGGCCCAAGGGTTGACCTAGAGTAGGATTGAAAGAAAGAAACAGGGGAACCCTGGGGAGGAAAGAAACCCTTTGATGCCTTAATGTCGCAGTTATCCGGAGGTTTTGATATAGCAGTCTATATGTATACAAGACTGCTTTAAGTTGATAGTCTCAATTTCACATGCATTTCCAATGTCCTGCATTTATGCTCTCCTCTTGATTTCCTGCCTTTACTATATGTTTTCCTTTACTGTTAAGCTTTCCCATCTGTAATTTTCTTGTTTCTAGTTGTGGGCTTTTCTTTTCTGCCTAGAGAAGTTCCTTTAGTGTTGTAAAGCTGGTCTGGTGGTGCTGAATTGTCTTAGCTTTTGCTGGCCTGTAAAGCTTGTGATTTCTCCGTTGAATCTGAACAAGCATATTCTTGGTTGTAGGTTTTATGTTCCTACTATCACCAATTTTTTGAGGATTTTTATCACAAAAGGATGTTATATTTTGTCAAATGCTTTTTCTGCATCTATTGAGATGATCATATAATTTTTATCTTTCATTCTGTTAATGTGGTGTATCACATTTATTGATGTGCATTGGTTGAACCATACTTGCATCCCAGCGATAAATCCTATTTGGTCACAATGTATAATCCTTTCAATATGTTGTTGAGTTCAGTTTGCTAATATTTTGTTGAGAATTTCTGCCTCTATATTTATCAGAGATATTGGTCTCTAGTTTTCCTTCCTTGTAGTGTCCTTATCTGGCTTTGGTATCAGGGTAGTGCTGGTCTTGTAAAATGAATTTGGAAATGTTCCTTCCTCCTTAATTTTTGGGAGGCCTTTGAGAAGGATTGGCATTAATTCTTCTTTAAATGTATGGTAGAATTTGCCAGTGAAGCCATCTGGTCCTTCAGTTTTCTGTGTTGGGAGGTTTTTGATTGCTGAATCAGTCTCCTTACTTATTATTGGTCTGTTCAGATTATCTATTTCTTCCTGATTCAGTCTTCATAGGTTTTATGTTTCTAGGAATTGATCCATTTCTTCTAGGTTAACCAACTGATTGGCCTGTAATTGTTCTTAGTAGTCTCATATGATCCTTATTATTTCTGTGTTATCATTTGTAGTGTCTCCTCTTTCATTTCTGATTTTATTATTTGAATCTCTTTTTTTTTCTTAGTCCAGCTAATGGTTTGTCAATTTTGTTTATCTTTTAAAAAAAAAACAGATCTTAGTTTTGTTTATTTAAAAAACTTTTTGGTCTCTATTGCATTTATTTTCACTCCAATTTTTGTGATTTCTTTGCTTCTGCTAACTTTGGGCTTAGTTAGTTCTTCTTTTTCTAGTTCCTTGAAGTGTAAAGTTAGGTTGTTTATTTGAGATCTTTCTATTTTCTTAATATATGCATTTATCACTATAAATTTGCCTCTTAGAACTGCTTTTGCAGTACCCCATAAATTTTAGTATGTTGTGATTCCATTTTTATTTGCTTCAAGATACTATTTGATTTCTCATTTGATTTCTTTTTTGAGTCATTGCTTGTTCTGGAGTGTGGTGTTTAATTTCCACATGTTTGTAGATTTCCCAGTTTCCTCTTTTACTCTTTATTTCTAGGTTCATACCATTGTGGTCAGAAAAAAATACTTGGTATCATTTCAATCTTTAAAAATTTCCTAAGACTTGTTTTGTGTCCAGATGATCTATCTGGATCATCTATCTGTATGATCTATCTATTGCTGAAAGTAGGGTACTGAAGTTCCCTACTACTATTGTATCATAGTCTATTTCTCTTTTACTCTGCTAGTATTGTCTTAATACATTTATGTACTTCATGAAGTTGGGTTTGTATATATTTATCATCATCGTATCTTCTTGGTGAATTGGCCCCTTTATCATTATATATTGACCTTCTTTGTCTCTTGTTACTGTTTTTTGGCTTAAAGCCTAATTTTTGTGATATAAGTATAGCTACCCCTGCTTTCTTTTGGTTTCCTCTTGCATGGATTACCTTTTTTCATCTCTTCACTTTGAGCCTATACGTGTCCTTAACACATTTTTGACTGGAGACATATTATAGCCACAAGCATTCGTTTCTGCAAAAATCTCCCAGTCAATAATATGTTAAAACTGAAGTCAGTCTCTTGTAGGCAGCACATGGTTTGGTCTTGTTGTTTTATCCTTCCAGCCACTCTGTGCCTTTTGATTGGTGAATTCAATCTATTACATTTAGAGTTATTATTGATATGTAAGGACTTACTAATGCCATCTTATTAATTGTTTTCTGGTTTTTTGGTATTTATATTGTTTCTTTTTCCTGTTGTTTCTGCCTACCTTTGTAAATTGGTGTTTTCCATGGTGGTTTGCTGTTTCCGCTTTCTTTATCTTTTGTGCCTCTACTCAAGGGTTTTGTTTTGTGGTTACCATGAGTCTTCCCCCTGCCCCCCAGTTTTATTGAGAAATAATTAACATACATCACTATATAAGTTTAAGGTGTACATCATGATGGTTTGGTTTATATATATTGTGAAATGATCATCATAATAGGTTTAGTTAACATCCTTTATCTCATAGAGATACAATAAAAAGAAAAAAAGGTCTCCTTGTGATGAGAGCTCTTAGCAACTTTCTTATAACTGGAAGTTTGTACATTTTGACTATCTTTTTCCAATTTCCCCTCCACCATGAGTGTTATATAAGACATCTCATAGGTAAAACAGTCTAGTTCAACCTGATAGCAACTTAATTTTGATTGTCTACAAAACTTCACTCTTTTACTTCATCTTTTTTATATCTTGAGGTCATTATTTAACTCTTTTTATATTGTGTATTTATTAGCAACTTATAGTAGCTAAATTATATTTAATGCTTTTTCCTTTGACCTTTGTAGTATAGTTAAGTGGTTAACAAACCATGCTATTAGAGTTTTCTAAGTTTGTATATTTACCTGTACCAGTGTGTTATATATTTTCATATGTCTTCATGTCATTAATTAACATCTTTTTATTTCACCTTGTATAACTCCTTTCAGCATTTCTTGCAAGGCAGGTCTAGTGTTTGTTTGTCTCAGCTTTTGTTTGTCTAGGAAAGCTATAAGATTTTTATGTTCTGTATACAAGTTCTACTTAGGATATCAGTATTGCAAATATCTTCTCCAAGTCGTTAACTTGTCTTTTCACTCTCTTACTGATACATTTTGATGAACCGCCATTGTTAATTTCAATGAAGTCTAACTTATCAATGTTTAAAAATGGTTTTGCTGTTCAGGTGATGTTTAAGTAACCTTTTGCCTATTCCAAAGTTACAACTACATGCTGTGCTTTCTTCTAGAAGTTTTATTGTTATACTTTTCACTTTAAACCTACAATCCAGTTTGAATTTGTTTTTTGTGTATGTTGTGAGGTAGAGGTAATGTGTAGAAAAATTTAACTAAGTAGAGAACCCAGAATTAGTGTTAAGTGCTAATGGAAATTCAGCATATTATGAAAGAGGCATCTCAAATTAGTTGAGAAAAATGTTAACTTTAAAATAAATATTTCTGGTACCCTGAGATAACCATAATTCAAAAAGATACATGTACCACAATGTTCATTGCAGCACTGTTTACAATAGCCAGGATATGGAAACAACCTAAATGTCCATTGACAGACGAATGGATAAAGAAGATGTGGCACATATATAGAATGGAATATTACTCAGCCATAAAAAGGAATGAAATTGAGTTACTTGTAGTAAGGTGGATGGACCTAGAGTCAGTGATAAAGAGTGAAGTAAGTCAGAAAGAGAAAAACAAATACCATATGCTAACGCATATATATATATATATATATATATATATATATAATCTAGGAAAATGGTACTGATGAACCTAGTGGTAGGGCAGGAATAAAGATGTAGATGTAGAGAATGGACTTGAGGACACAGTGGGGGAAGGGGAGGCTGGGATGTAGTGAGATAGTAGCATTGACATATATACACTACCAAATGTAAAATAGATAGCTAGTGGGAAGCTGCTGCATAGCACAGGGAGATCAGCTTGGTGCTTTGTGATGACCTGGGTGGGGGGGGAGGCTCAAGAGAAAGAGGATATGGGGACATATGTATGCATATAGCTGATTCATGTTGTTCAGCAGAAACTAACAGAACATTGTAAAGCAATTTTACTCCAGTAAAGATATATTAAAAAATAAATAAAAGATAAATGTTGTTGGACTAATTGGCTAGTCATGTGGAAATAGATTAAATTGGATCACTTTCTTACAAGGGTAAATTCCAAATGGAGAATCAAAATGTTAATTTAAATCCATGAAAGTATTAGAAGGAAACATGGATGAATTATTATCTAACCTGGAGCATAAAAAGTGGCTGAATTCCATTAGTTATCAGTAAAGTGTAAGATAAATTTTATGATGAGTAGACTAGTTAAAATTTAAATGACTGATAGGACTTCCCTGGCGGTCCAGCAGTTAGGACTCTGAGCTTCCACTTCAGGGGGTGAGGGTTCGATCCCTGGTCAGGGAACTAAGATCCCACATGCTGCAAGGTGCAGCCAAAAAGTAAAAAAACAAAACAATAAATGACTGATAATAATTGGTGATGGGAATTATGTAGAGTAACTGGAATTCTCATACAGTACTGGTAGGACTATATATTGGTACCACCACTTTGGTAAACCCTTTGGCAATTTCTTTTAAAGTTATGCATATGCCTACCCTATGACTCATACATGTTACTTTTAATTACCTACCAAAGAGAAATGAGTGTATGTCCATCAAAACTCTTATATAAAAATGTTCACAGCAGCTTTATTCACAATAGCCCAAAGCTGGAAACAACTCAATGTCCATCAATAAGAGAATTGATCTAATAAATTGTAGTGTATGTATACAATGGGGAAAAAAAGAATAAACTTTTGATATAAGTGAAACATGCATGAATCTTAACAATATTATGGTGAGTGATAGAAACCAGACTCAAGATAGTACTTTCTGTATAATTTATTTTATAATAAGTTCAAGAACAGGCTGGGACTTCCCTGGTGGCACAGTGGTTAAGAATCCGCCTGCCAATGCAGGGGACATGGGTTCTAACCCTGGTCCAGGAAGATCCCACATGCCGTGGGGCAACTAAGCTCGTGTGCCACAACTACTGAGCCTGCGCTCTAGAGTCTGTGAGCCACAACTACTGAAGCCGTGCTCCTGTCACAGAGGCAGGTGGCTAGAGCCCATGCTCTGCAACAAGAGAAGCCACCGCAATGAGAAGCCCACGCACCGCACCAAAGAGTAGCCCCCGCTCGCTGCAACTAGAGAAAAGCCCACGCGCAGCAATGAAGACCCAACGCAGCCAAAAAAAAAGAACAGGTAAAATAAAATTAGTTCTATGGTGATAGAAGTTAGAATAATACTTTTGGGAGTGGATTGTTACCTGAAGAAACTTACTAAGGTGATAAAAATATTCTATGTTTTAAATGAGATGGTGGTTATGTAGGTTTATACATTTTTCAAATCACATCAAACTGTATATTTAAAATATGTGCATTTTATTATATATGAATTATACTTCAACTAAGATTATTATTCAACTCATAATGAATAACAGATCTTGTTAACAATAATCAATAGGGCTAAAATCTGTTAGATGAAAGATTGAAGGGAAACTTTAGATGGTATAGATAAGCCTGAGAACAAGCAAATTTATGTGATCAATCCTGACATCATTAAAACTAGGAAAACATGTGCTTTCAGATATTTCCAAGGGTTGGGCCAGATTACCCTTTCTAAACTTCCAGGCCTATTTCATACTTGATATAATAAAGTATTGATTTTGAATTTTGAAGTAAGATTAGCTATTCAGTTTTACAAGAATCCCATCAAAAAAAAATTTTTTTTAGTTAATATATTTGAATAGTGGAGGGTCCCATAATAAGAAATGTCCTTTTCATAATCTCTTTGAGAAAAACACATGGTATGTTGGCACTGGAGTGAAAGTTCTATGTCTGGTAGGGAGTAGAGGTTACCATTCCCAGTACACTCAACAAAATAGGTAAAAAACCAGAAAAGTCACGCTAAACAGATGGACAAGAAAAATTCCATCAACTTTACTGGCTGTTCAGTTAAACACAATAAAGTTTAATTGGCCAGCTAAAGGCAATAGAGATGAATAAAACAAGGCACATGTTCTAGCTGTGATTTATAACATACTAGGGCAAATTAGACAAACAGAGAAATGATTCATTTTTGTGAAAGAGTGTCAAAAAAAAAAAAGTACCCATAAAGTGACTTGGGTATTCAGAAGAGGGAGAATTTGTATAGTCATTGTGTTCATTGCCGGGGAGGTCAGAGTAGAGGTGGGTGGCAAAAGAGGAAAGGAATTGAGAAGACTAGAAGAGGAATAGGAAGAAATGAGAGTTGTAATATATCTTGAATGTACATCTTGACAGGCCTAGAAGTGGCTATGTGTGAACTGTGAATGTCACAGAGGCAGGAAATTCTTTATTTGCTGTTTCTTACATTGTATATGGAGACACCATGTAAATGCTAAGAAAATCATGACTGAGTGTGAGATGGACACTGTCCACGGGGGAAAATAACTTTTTGCCAATAGAGGAAAATCTTGAGTGTCCACCATCTGTTTTGTTGCTATTTCTGCTTAATTATAGCCATAATAAGAATTTCTAGTCCACCTCCACTCTCTAAGATAATCACAAGGATCTAGAATGGTCTTGTTTTAAAGTTTTCTACTGGGCCTCTTGGGGGAGGCCTCCTGAAGTACAGAAATGCCAGACCCTGTAATGGGAGAAATCTGTTGTTCAGAATCATTATCCTCCGACTGAGGTAGGAACCAAGCTTGAGGCACCAGGAAGGATAACACTGAATTACAGAGAGAGCTGGGGTCCTTCCAGGACAGACAGGGCAGAAAAGCAAGGGCAGGCAGACTGTGAAGGCAGAGAAACATCAATAACATTTTAAAGGGACAACTTTGGAGAAAAAATATTTTAGATTTTTGAAGTTACAATAATTGTAGTTGCAGCATGTATGAACATAAGTTCATCGTTGAGATCGTATGTCAATTCTCTGCAGAATCTCTGACACACCATATATGATAACTGGAGGATGTTATCTGTAGTAAGAAGAAATCATAGAAAATAAGCCAGTGATCTAAGTTCTTTAAAGACAAGTCAAGCCTGGCAGTAGTCCTGTCAGTAAAAATTTATTTAGGCATCCGAGGTAGGTTTGGGGTTGGCTTCCCATCTTGTACTTCCCAAGGGGACTCAGGCAGGGAGATGAAGAAATCACAGGTCCCCTGCAGGGGTTATTTGCCTAAGTTCCCTGGAAACCCTCAACTCTTTGTACAGATGCTTCTTCCTCGTGTCTCATTTCCCCAGGTCCTCTTCTGTCTGCATGCACAGGGACCCATGCCCAGGGGTATACGGCACTTTGGTTCCTCTCTTGAGTTGGCCTTAGTCTGAGATAGGAAATTGGTGGAGTACTCGCCTAAGAATTTTCTGGGAATCTCACAGCACCTCCTCTAACTTACCCTGGAAGGTCTTTAAGATCACGCATGTCTCATGCTTCTCAGCAGCACAGACACCGAAGCCCCTTCTACAGCGATCTGTCTGTGTGCGAAGGGGCATGTTATGCATCTCAGGGGTGTCATTGCTGGAGAGCACAGAGCTGGTGTGAGGCCAGGGGAGGCAGGGACTTAGAAGAAGCTAGACCTATCCAGGCCTGGGGTGCGGGGTGTGGTGCGCGGGTAGGTGAAGAGCTGGTGGCTGGGATCCGGGAGTAAGCAGCTGGATCTCTCACCAACTCCACATCCCGGAGAAATGCCTCTGTGAGAGTTAAAGGTTTCTGGTCCCGACTTCAGCCCTTTTAACGTGGTGACTTTGAGCAAAGATTTAGCCTCTGGCTAAATGGCTTTCCGGCTTAAAAATGGTTCTGTTAATGCTGGCCTGGCTTACCTGGCAGCACTGTAGGTAGGAGTGTGATAATGAGGCTGAGAGCTTTAAACTTTTACCTGTGCTAGCATTACTACGATGAGATTTCTGAGATTGGCGGCTTACATATTGTTAGGTGATATACTCTGTTTTTAACTTGGAACTGAATCTACGTGAAGGCCTCATGAATTATATCATAGTCAGTGCCATTTTTTGTGGTACTGTGGGGTGAACTGGTCAAAATACAGGTTTAATTAAAAAAAAAAAAAAAAAAAAAACACCTCTCCTGGGTGCACCTAAGTGAGAAAGTAACATTTATCGAGCATCTCATATGGGCCATGTTCTCTTACTTTGTATCTGATTTAATCCTCACAAAAGCCTTGTAAGTAGGGATTTCCCCATTTCTCTAGTGAGCAACCAGAGATACAGAGAATTTAAGACAGTGACTGAAACATTTTTTAATCTGTCTGATTCCAGTGCATCCAGTATTTTCTTTCCTGCAATCACTTGTTGTAATATAAAAATCCCTGATAAGGGCATCAAAAACCCTTGATAGCACTAAAACCCGCTACAAAATTATTCATTGTAGGCTCAGCAGATGGGATACAGATTTATAAATGGAAAGGATGTCCTGAGGAAAATCTCACTAGGAGTTTTGATTATGGGGAATGGTAGGGACAGAGTGGGGAGCACTATGATGGGGCAGCCACAGCGGCTTGAGCCCTTGGCGGGGAATGGCAGAATGTTGAAAAGGGCAGACAAGTTGGCATGGAGGCCCAGGGAGCATTCTGAAGGCTGGCTTCCCCTCCCGTATAAACGTGGTCAAGACTCAGCCCCGCCTGGATGCCAGCTACACATATGGAGTTCCATGGGGCTTCCTAGATCCTGTCTCTGGAGCCCACTCAAGTCTGTGACTCACCCGCAATGCAGCAGAAGACGGATGAGAGCAACAAGAAGTGTTTGTCCATCCTGACAGAGAAGTCTGTTATACAGGAAGAAAAGAAGCCAGGGTCTGCAAGCACAAGTCTTTAGGCCACAAGAAGAAACCTTCCTCTTCATCATAGGGCAGGGATTATTCATGCCTAAGGGGAACCAATCACACAAGGTTTCCTCTGGGAGCTCAAGTTCATGCTCTCTCCACCCCACAGCAGAGAATGATAATTAATAAATGTTGGAGCTTACATGAAGTTAACTTTGTTTTTTATATACTGTTCATCATAGTAATTATTATTAATGCAGTTATGATATTATCATTCTTTTTTTTCTTTGTTTTTCTTCTTTGATATTATCATTCTTATCCCAGTTTCACAGAGGAGGAAACAGGCTTGGTGAGATCCAGCATCTTACCCAAGATCACATATCTAGTGACTTATAGCACCAGTACTCAGAGCAAGACTTTCTAGTTCCAGAAGCCATGCTTTTAACCATCTGGACTGAATGCCTCTTGGAGATTTATTCATACATTCAACTAATATTTATTGAGAGCTTTTACGGACCAGGCACAGTTTCATGTGTAAGAGCAGAGCAACGAATAAGTCAAAAACAAGCTCACCTAGCTCCACACTTCATGGATGAGAAAACGAAGAGTGAAAGAGATGAAAAGGTGTATAATCTATGACCAAGCTGGGCCTTCCACCTAGAATTTCTAATTCTCAGCCCAGAACTCTTTCACTTTACTAGAAATCTGTTCTCCAAGGCCAGGGACTGTTTACTTTGTAGGGCTGTGAAATCATCTCTAGAATTATCACATGGCTTGATCTTTAGGAAATTTATATTGTGAATCTGGCCAGTTTTGCCCATGCTTTAGGTATCTGTCTCTACAAAAGTTAACTCAGGTAAGGTTCACCGTGGGTAAACCACTGGAAAATTATGACCAGTTCTGGCACTGTCAGTCTCTGAAACCCATCAGTAAGCTTATGGTACTTTGGCTAGAGGCAATAGGAATCTTCTCTCATGAATTTATTTTAACGACATGTTCTTTAGTTGTAGGAACAATATGTTCATCAAAAATCTCAAGTATGACATTTTTAGATATCAGATAAAGATCGGGTGAAATAAAGTCTTAGCTCAAATGCCACAAAATTTATAGTGTTCCTTTTCTATGACCAGAGTGTGGAGCCCATCTCTGCCTAAGAAGAGAGGCCTTAAACATGAGGGAATTTGTTCCTTTGAAAAGAATTGATTCTAGAATGGCAATCAAGATTGTGAAGTCTTTGAATCTCATTTTCTATTCTTCCATCTTTCAGGAGAAGATGTTGGGAACTAGATAGCATTTTTCAGGACTTTCCAAAGGCTTATCAAGAAGGCATACTTCTGAGCCTTTATTTGTCACCTGTTTTCTCTTCTCTTTCTTTAAAGTGAGTGAGTCTAGAATCATAGCAAAGGAAGAAAAAATTCTAGGTTAAACCACAGAGGGTTTGCCCAGTTTCTATTCTTCTTCCTGCAAGGTGCCCCTTGGCAGATATTTTCTGGAAGGCCCATTGAGTTCTGAATCTCTTTTCTACGGGATTATTTTCAGTTAGGATTGTAGAATTTTGCAACTCCACCCAAGCAAGAGGTTCTCTGATCTACTTCTCATCCTACCACAGTATCTCATCCATCAGATTTTCTCTTGTAAACAATGTCTCGTGGTATGTGTGAACCTTCTAAAGTAGAATGTGTATTTGTGGATGTGAATCTGGAACTCAAAGTAGAGGTCTGAGGTAGAGATATAAAACTGAGCATCATCAGCTCATGGATGACCTCACGCTTGAGCTATGAGAATGGGACCCAGTTCTCACCCAGTCTCAGTGAATCAGAGCTCAGCTAGTTCCCAGCTGCTAACCCACCCAAAGCAAATAAAACAGTTTGTTCTAAAGCTGACTATGTCTTCAAAGTTCATTCTAGAAGACAATGTAATTAATCTTTCCATCTTTTCCAATACCCAAAGCCAAATGTAAGCCTTGCTGCAACTTAACACCTGACAGGATGCTCCCAACATCATCCTCACAGCCAGGCTCTTGGCCCTTGGATGCCAAAACCACAGTTACAGCCTCCACCTCATTGCCTCTCGCAGTCAGGTGCCCTTTCCTGCATGTGGCTCCTTTTGACTTCAGTTTCTGACACCTACCCTAGCAAAAGGGCCCAGGCTTCTCCTGAAATTTTAAGCACTGCGCAGGGAGTTAGTGCTTGATAGTTTCCAGGACCTTAACAAATATGAGCTTTCTCTCTTCACAGACTTTAAAATACTACTAATACCAATCCTATGATGAAAATTATTCTGAACGTCAGTAACTCACCCAGAGTCACAACGTTGGCAAGCAGCAGAGCCAGGATCTGAACCCATGTGTGTACCAAGCTTAAGTTCGGGATAAAGGGAGATGTCCTTTCTAGAATTCAGTATTGGTACAGAGGAGTGGGTACTTTAATGTCTTTTCCAGCCCTGGGAAAAATGACTCTTTTCATTGATGTCTTGCAATTGCACAATAGTGAGCAAGAGATCCCATTTTATGTGCTTGGGACAAAATAATCTCAGCAACAAGTGCAGTGCACTGTCCCCTTGAGCCCCTCTCTTTACCCATATGCCATCACCTCCAACAAGGTGCATCTCTCTGAGTTTCTTGCTCACCCATGTCTCTAGAACCACATGACCAGCTGTCATCCCAGTGTGTCAGGTTGCCTGACATCTCTGTATTTTGACATTTGCTGTTCCTTTGGGCGCCTGTCCCTATTCACTTCTTCTAACTAACACATCACTAGCCTTCAAAGTCCGGCTCAACTATCCCTTCTTCAGGGAAGCCTTCCCTGGTCAGGCAGTCAACTTTGAATGTCTCTCATTTAGGCCCCCATAGCCAACTGTGCTTGATGTACTTGTGGTCTCCTTAACTAGACTCAAGTCTTTGTGAGGCCACAGATTAGTGGCCTGGTTCACTTGGTGATGTCTCTTTTTGTGATGTTGGCAGTTGGTATGTGTGTAGAAAATATTTGCTTTAAAAAATCCATGAATTAGTTAATAACACCTGAAGGCAAACTAGGCACATCTCACCTTTCTTCTGAAACGTCCCTTTCCTACACCACAGAAGGGGCACTCAGTGTTTCCCCCACATTCAGACTATACCTGGAATCCTGAACTTAATTCCTGGTGCTTCAGTCTAAGTGAGACAAAGACAAATCTGATATTATTCTGAGATTAGTGAAGAGAGCTAAAAGGAACTAAGGTGTCCAAATCCTGTCTTGAAATATCTGAAAGGTTAAAATGTGGGGAAAAAATTTGACTTACAGAGCACAAAGCTTAGCTATACAATAATGAATAAAGAATGTATATATATATATGTGTATATGTGTGTGTGATATATATATATATATTCATCATTGAGGAGAATTTTTAAATAGATGCCTTAGGGGCATTGAGACTCCAGTTGGTGGTTTGGTTGGTTCTGGGAACATTGAGGTACTGTTCATCACTGAAATTTTATGATTTAGCTGAATAGCCCAAGGGCAGAACACTGGGGGAGATCAACCAGTACCTTCCACAGGCAACTGCACAGGACCAAAGTCCCAGGATGTTTGTTCTCTTTCTGCTGTGCATAGTCTTTCTGGTCTGCATGAGTAAGGGTAAGTCCTGGAGACAGAGGAAGGGTTGGTTGTTGATTAAGAGATGGGAAGATGCTGGGGGAGGAGAAATTTCCAGAATTGGCTCTTGGGGCTTTGGCCGATGCATGTGTGATTATGACAGGGAAACTTCTTTCCACAGGTGAATTTCGTGAACATCTGATAGGTATGACCACAGCTAGTCTAAAGTCCTTGGTAAAAAGGTTATTGGTGACATTTTTGGAGTAAACCTTCCCCTCCATCTTTTAAGAAAGCTGTTTTCCATTCCTACTATAGAATCCTAGGAGTTTGATCTTCTCCCGGACCAATTTAGTCCATTTCGTGGAGTAAAGAAGCTAAAGTCCCCGTCTTTGCTTCCTCTTCCCCATTACTGGACAAAATCATTAGGCTACATAAGGTGTTCATTACTTGGGGACCATAGATAAATTTTACAGGAACTCCAACCTTTTGAGATTATATACAATATTTGATTTATGTCTGTATAAGTTAGCTTTCACAAGATTATCAAAGGGATCAGGGTCCCTAGAAAAGTTGGGAACCACTAGTCAATAGTAAGTTCCTGTTGGGAAGCCCCCAGGCCTGGAGAACCTTCTCCTTACTGCATCCTTTAAGCACCTCTTTCTGTGTCTGGCAGAGCCTTCAACGATGTGTTATAAATGTAAAAAATATCATCTTGGGATATGCTATGAAGGCATGAGGTCCTGCACCCTGAAGTACCACCAGACCTGTGCTGTTGAAAACATTTACTTACTTACCAGAAAAGGTAGTGTTGGGTATAAAGTGACTGAGAAACAACCACCTTTTCCCCTTAGAGACAGTTACCTGCTTTTGTCCATGGAATACCTGGGTGAGTAGGATAGGTGAGGATGGGGTGGTCCTGCAGAGGGTAGGGCAAAGATGGACTTTTCCTTAAGACAGCGTTGAGGAAAGGAAAGGTGAGTGTTCCTTATAAGTTAGGAAATAAAATCCACTCTCTGGGTCAGTAATTGATAGACTCTGTCTTTTAGCTCATTTGGGTCTAGAGAAAGATCAGTGAGTCTCTGAAAAGAGGTTATTCCTAGGAATATGGTAGGAGAAAACAGAGTCATTACAGTTATATTCCCTTTCTTTCACCTCCTCAGGGCGGAGTATGTATTTTTATTCAAAACTGTCGTGTATGACCAACTGTGAGGACATCAACTTCTTAAGTTTTGAAAAGAGGACAGAGCTCATCTGTTGCAAACATAAAAACTATTGCAACCTCCCTGAGGGAGTCTAGTTCTGCATCTCTCCTGGATTTTTGATTATTCTTCAACTCACCATCCCCCTTATCTTTTCCCCCAAACCTGTATTTTGCTCTCCACTTCTAACCAATGGTAGAGAGTGAGAAAGCCAGCTGGTAGTGAAGAGTAGCCATCATAAGGAGGCTACTAGGAGATAACTGATTCTCATTAATTATGGAGCACTAGACGGAATTTTTGCAAATCCCCGCGCACAGCGTTTTGGTTTTCTTACGGTGCTGCCATGAATAGTGTTGGGTTTTAAATTGGTTATTTATTATCTCCTATATGGAAATGCAAAGACTTGGGTCAAAATAATCCCAAGCTCGTCCTGGGAATTCTGTGATCATACTTTATCCTTGTCCATACCCACTCCTCTGGGCTGGGATTCTCTCTTGATTAGCTCTGACACCTGGCACTCTCCTTTTGCCCATGGGTTTTGGAGATAAAAGAAGACTAACTCCAGTTTCCCAATTTTCTGGCAACGTGAGCCACATCTTTCTCTGGTAGAGCTCTTAGGAGGAATCTCAGGCCAGGAAAAAACTGGACAGGCAAAGGGATGAGGCATCAAGAAAAATTTTAGGGGCATTTCAGTTTGTGGAAACTAAGATATGAGAAACAGTTTGGTGTGGGTGGAGTTATCATGGCCCTTCCTGGACAGGTAGCCAGGTAGCACATGGTTGAACTAGGTTATTGAATTGGAAATGGAAACCTTGTGCCAGAATGGCTGGTCAGTCTCCTCTCATAAGAATGTGAAAAAAATGTTGATAATAAAGCAGGTTAAGATAATAGAATGTATAGAGATGCCATGTGGTAGTGTTCCAGTTACAAGGTGTCCTATGTATGATGCAGTTATGAGTAAACAGAAGGGATGATATAGCAGAAGCTAGTGGGGGTAGGAAGAGATGCAGGTGACACAGAATGAAACAAATAGAGAGAAACTGTGTAGCGTTGGTGGTGAAACAACCCACCTGTGGCCAAGGTGGTGAAGCTTCCCTGGGTATAGAATAACCCTGACATTTCTCTCCTTGTGAATGAAGCTTACTACAGTTCTTGGTCCTGGATTTCCACAATCATTTTTCTCCCTTACTATGCCATATGAAATTCTTACAGTAAAACAATTACCCCTCTACTTGAAGAGTTTGGTGTACTCTCTGCCTTTGTCTGCGCCTGAAAATATAATCCTTCCTGAGGAATTCTCATCTGGGATTTTAGCTGGGATGAAGAAAGACATGTAGATAACTTTTTCAAAATAGGCAGGCAGGTTGGAAAAGCCAATGTAACATGGATATTTTGAGTTAGGGAAGCAACATATATTTTTTAAAATTTTATTGAAGTATAGTCGATTTACAATGTTGTTTTAATTTCTGCTGTACAGCAAAGTGATTCAGTTATACATATATATGTTCTTTTTCATATTCTTTTCCGTTATGGTTTATCACAGGATATTGAATATAGTTCCCTGTGCTATACAGTAGGATCTTGTTGTTTATCCATCCTATATATAATAGTTTGCATCTGCTAATCCCAAACTCCCAACCCATCTCTTCCCCACCCTACTCCCCCTTGGCAACCACAAGTCTGTTTTCTGTATCTGTGAGTCTGTTTCTGTTTCATAGATATGTTCATTTGTGTCATATTTTAGATTCCACATACAAGTGATATCATATGCTATTTGTCTTTCTTTTTCTGACTTCTCTTAGTATGATAATCTCTAGGTGCATCCATGTTCCTGAAAATGGCATTATTTAATTTTTGTAATGGCTGAGTAATATTCCATTGTGTATAGTACCGCATCTTCTTTATCCATTCATCTGTCGATGGACATTTAGGGGAAACAACATATTTTTATTTCTGGCTGTATGTGAGGTCTCTCACCCATTGAATCATGGGGTTGGGAAAGGTCATTTAGAAAAAAAAGAGAGAGAGATCACTGTTTTTCACTGGGTTTCAAAATAGACTTTAAAAATATTTGTGAATCATTGTTTAGACAAAACTTGGCTTTGTTGAACAAGAAGTTTCTAATTATAAAATCTTTCCTTGATCTTTCAAGAACAGGCATTGGCATTCTCAGCAATAGAGCATTGAATATTACATTATGTAGGGAATGATTTTGATTTGATTTTGGTGCCCTGCCCAAATCCTTTTTGCTAATCAGTGCATCTGCGACCCAGCTGCATTGAGTGTTGGCTTATGACAATTCACAGCTATTTACTTCTCTGGAGATTTGCCCTCTGCCAGATGGGAGCTGCCTCGCCTGGATGCTGAACTCCCAACTAGAGCAAAGACCTCAGCCAACAAATGGCCGACTCCTTCCATCAAGCTGCATGTGCAGCTTGTGCCAGAGGCAGGCAGGTTGGAAAAAGCCTGCAGTGCAATTTTTGTGCCAGAGCTTTTCCATGGGCTCTGACTAAAGCCAGTCTCCAGTTGAGACCATGTTACTGTTAACATTTCCCCTGACCTCCCTGCTTTCTTTACTCCCCCTCTAAATTTTTTTTTTTTTTTTTTTTTTTTTTTTTTTTTTTTTTTTTTTTTTTTGCGGTACGCAGGCCTCTCACTGTTGTGGCCTCTCCCGTTGCGGAGCACAGGCTCCGGACGCGCAGGCTCAGCGGCCATGGCTCACGGGCCCAGCCGCTCCGCGGCATGTGGGATCTTCCCGGACCGGGGCACGAACCCGTGTCCCCCGCATCGACAGGCAGAATCTCAATCACTACGCCACCAGGGAAGCCCCTCCCCCTCTAAATTTTAAGCTGAGAAGACCAAGTGTTTTCTGCCATCATAGGGCATGGAGCTCTAAAATAAGATGAGGAAATTCCCCAGCAGTCCAGTGGTTAGGACGCTGAGCTTTCACTGCCAAGTGCACGGGTTCGATCCCTGGTCGGGGAACTAAGATCCCACAAGCCACGTGGTGTGGGCAAAAATTTCAAAAAAAATTTTTTTTAATTAAAAAATTTTTTTTAAATATAAAATAAAACAAGATGAGGTTGGGTTAGAAAATGCAGTTACATTTTGGTGCCTCTGAGTGAGAGTGCACGTAGTGTGTGAATTAGCTCCTCATGAATGAGGAGAATCTTTTTCATTAGGCTTCCTTACAGCCTAGATAAAATTGCTGTAATCTTGGAGAGAATTTTCTCTTGGTTTACCCCATCTTGGGATATTCTTCCTGTTTCCATTTTCCAACTTGAACAAATGAACAGAATAAGACCTAGGTGAAAATTTCTTTACCCCCATGATAGCACACCAAGTATCAATCCTGAAATAAGCATAAGCTCTTTTTTCATATATGCAAATTTTTTCTTCACATATCATTTTAAAGACAGTAATTTGCCTACTAATCTAAAGGTTAATTTGGAGTTGACTGGTACATAATACATGCAACCTTATGCATTAAATCAAAATAATTTTCACGTATATTAAAGATTTAAATGTAATAAACTCCTTACTTCTTAATTGTTGTGACTATTACTGTTTGACCTCTTAGTGTGCGATAGACACGTGTTTTGTACTTTTCATAAATGGTCTCATTTAATCTTCACAACTTCCTATGAAGTAGCTAGTAGTGTAAAACAATGTAATAGATGAAAAACCTGAAGAAGAGGTTGCCCAGAAGCTAATTGGGTTAACTCAACAAGTATCACACAATTTTCCAGTTATTATTGATGCATAAAAAATGATTGTGTTCACTAGTACTGTGGGTCAGCAATTCAGAAAGTAGGTAGTAGGGATGGCTTGTCTCTGCTGCATGATGTCTACGACCGCAGCTGGAGAGACTTGAAGGCTGGAGGTGACTCGAGAGTGGGAGACTGGAATTATTCAGAGGTGTCTTCACTTCTACATTTTTGCAGTTGATACTCGTATAAGTTGTGATGTCACCTGGGGCTGTTGGTCAGAACACCTACATATGGACTCCATATGACTTGGACCCCTGTACTGCATGGAGGCCCAGGCTCCTTACACAGAAGCTTAGGGGCTCTAAAGGCAAGTGTATATTCTAACAAGGTGGAAGTTGCATCACATTTGGAAGTCGTGCATCATCACTTCTGCTACATTCTGTTGGTTATAAGTGAATCACAAGCCTCGCCAGGTTCCACTTTTTTTTTTTTTTTTCGGTACGCGGGCCTCTCACTGCTGTGGCCTCTCCCGTTGCGGAGCCCAGGCTCCGGACGCGCAGGCTCAGCGGCCATGGCTCACGGGCCCAGCCGCTCCGCGGCATGTGGGATCTTCCCGGACCGGGGCACGAACCCGTGTCCCCTGCATCGGCAGGTGGACTCTCAACCACTGCGCCACCAGGGAAGCCCAGGTTCCACTTTTGATTGGAGAGTAGGTAAGTTGTAGAAGAGCTTGTGATATGGGAGATACTGTTGTAGCCATCTTTGGAAAATACAGTCTGTTACAACTAGTTAATGGCAGAGCTGGAATTGAATCCAGTATTTATACAATCCCAAAGCTCTCTCTCATTCTAAGCTCACTATTATATTAAAGATATTTAGAAATATTTATATAATCTAGTGATAGAGGGAGCTTTTCTAATCATGGCATCAGTCACAAAACAGGACAAAATTGATAGATTTGGAAATTCCCTGGCAGTCCAGTGGTTAGGACTTGGTGCTTTCACTGCCAGGGTTTGATCCCTGGTCGGGGAACTAAGATCCCACAGGCTGCGTGGTGAGGCCAAAGAAAAGATTGATAGGTTTGACCACATACAGAAGTAAATGTTTTTGTATGGTAAATCAAAACCATCAAAAAAAAACCCCACATAATATAAAGATTGTAATTTTCCCTTAGCTGTTGTATCTTTAGTTGAATACCTAAAGAGAATAAAGCTCCCTAAAGACCTGTTACCATGATTGTCTATTGTTGTCAAAGAAAGGATTGTGGAAATAAGAAAAAAAAAAGAAGAATCTCCAGTGGGTCAGAGAGCAGGATGGAGAAGGGTAGAGAATTGATCTGAAAGGGGTAAATGGAAGAAAACCAGTACACTCCACCACCTTTACCTCTCAGCATCCATTCTCCTTCATTTAGGTGGAAACTGCATTCCCAGCACGGGGAATGAGAAACTTCCCATTACAACCTTGGAAGATGATAGAGATTCAGTCATATTATCACCCAAAACTAGGAATAGCTACCCCCAGGGCTGTTTCTGGTGGGAGTCAAGAGAGAGCCTTGAAATGAGCAAGCAATGTAAAATCTTCGCTGAAGGCCCCACTCCTGCGACTGGACGTGAGGCTGAGGATAATACTCACAGATGCATTCACAGTGTCTGCTCCACCTTCTCTCACTTCTGCCAGTGTCTCAGCTGGACAGGGTTCTTGACCTGATGGCATAGTCCAGCCTTCATTCCTGTAAGATCTGAACCCTTGGTGGTTTTGTCCTTATTGCATTGTTGCAGGTTTCTATTGAACAAGTCTGTTGGACAAGAGAGTACTAAGGATGTTCCAGCATATCCTGTGGTTTTCAAAAAAAGTTCTTCTTCTCTTCATTGAGTAGCAGCAACCTAAGTTCCCTTGTAATCCAAACAAATCACCACAGTCAGTGCAGTGAATTTTTCTCCGCCTCTTAGCAACAGGCATTTGAGACACTGTGATGTTCTGCTCCCTCTCCCCTGCCCCCACCCTCTCTTATCACAGGCATTGTAGGTTGACGGGGGTGGGGTGAGGCATTCCCTTTATACCATAGGAGAACTGTCCAATAGGTGGCTCCCAGGTTCCATCATAAATGAAAGGTAAAGGAATTTGGAAAACTCTTTCTCAGAATAATTCCCTGGCTTATTGTCATGTTGCATACTCTGTTTTAAAATGTAAAACCCTGCCTATTACTACATTATTTTAATTTTCTTTTGTTTTATACCAAATCTCATTTTATTCCTGGACAGAGGGTTACCCAGGCTGGAATGGGGTCGGGTTGGTTCCTGAAGGAGACAAAAGAGAAAAATCACATGAAAGATAAAACAGAGCTTTTCCTGGTACCACTTTTCCCAGTCTTAGAAGCCTCTGCAACTGCGTGCAGGACTTGGGCTGCTGGGCCACACGTACTTCAGTGCCTCTCAGCTAGGCTGAGCTTGGGTTCAGAATGTCAACTTGAGAGACTTCAGATTTCTCCTGTCAACCAACATAGCGTTTCTTCTATCTTCCTCCTCTTAAATTCACTGTATTAACAGTGAGAATTTTCTAGGAGCTCCCCTTGTATCTTATGAAATCTAAGCTTCTACAGTAATATTTTGCTGTTAAAAGCCTCAGAAATCTTCTCCCATGAGTCCTGAATTTCCCAACTATGTTCCTATGTTTCCTATTTGCATGGTCTCTGCAATAATTTATCTAACCTCAGCATATAAGAAAAGATATTTTGGGTTTTCTTCCA